GCCGGCGCAGCGCATGTACAACCACCTGCGCAGCGACTGGGAGATCATGCTGGACGCGTCCTCCACGCTCGACCTCTGCCCCGACGACGGCGCCATCGGCGCCATCCAGTACGACTTCCGCACCATCGCTGACGTGGCGGGCATGGAGAACAACAGCGTGGCGGACGTGCTGGGCGTGGTGGTGTCGGTGGGCGCGAGCGCGAGCATCATGCGGCGCAACGGCACCGAGACCATGAAGCGCACCTGCATGATCCGCGACCAGTCCGGGCGGCAGACGGAGCTCACCATGTGGGGCGGCTTCTGCAGCGCTGAGGGGCAGCAGCTGCAGGTCAGGCGCGCGTGGTTGGGCGTGATAGGGGGTGATGGGGGGTGATAGGGCGGTGTGTGCGGGGGGGGTTGGGGTGGGGGAGGGAGAATGATTTGGGGGTGATGGGGCGTCATAGGGGATGGGTTCATTCGCTGCAGGTGACGTGAGCATTGCGAGAGGAGTGATAACGAGCCTGTTGCCATCCAGAAATGAACTATACCCCCTCCCCCCCTTTCCCCCCCTTGCTGCTACCCGTCACCAGGAGCTGGTGGAAGCAGGGCAGCACCCGGTGCTGGCGATCAAGGCGGGGCGGGTGAGCGACTTCAGCGGCAAGTCGCTGGGCACCATATCGTCCACGCAGCTCGCCATCAACCCCGACATCCCCCAGGCCAAGGAGCTCGCCGCCTGGTACACCGCTGGGGGGGGCGCGTCCATGCCCGTGCAGGTCATCTCCTCCGAGTTTGGCGGGGCGGGCGGGGGCGGGACAGGCAGGGAGCCGCGCAAGATGATAGCGGCGATCAAGGACGAGGGGCTGGGGCTGGGCGGCAAGGTGGACTGGATCTCCGTGCGCGGCACCGTGTCGTACTTCCGTGCCGATAACTGCTACTACCCCGCGTGCCCGCTCACGACGGCCGAGGGGCGGCAGTGCCAGAAGAAGGTGGTACAGGACAGCAATGGCGACGGGTGGTACTGTGAGAAGTGCGGCCGCGCCACACCCACGTGTGACTTCCGGTACATTCTCAGCTTCCAGTTGCAGGACCACACCGGCATGACCTGGCTCTCCGCCTTCCAGGAAGTCTCCGAGGAGATGCTGAAGACGCCTGCATCGGAGATCAACAGGTGGCGCGAGGAGAACGACCTGCGGGCGGGGGAGGTGTTTGCCAACGCGCAGTGGAGCCAGTGGGTGCTGAAGCTCAAGGTGCGAGAGGAGACGTGGCAGGACGAGTGGGTGCTGAAGCTCAAGGTGCGAGAGGAGACGTGGCAGGACGAGGCCAAGGTGAAGTGCCCGTGGTCAAGGCGGAGCCCGTCAACTATGCGGCTGAGAGCCGCGTGCTGCTGGATTACATTGGCCGGCTGCAGCGGGGAGAGCCACTCACTGCGCCTGTTTCGGGCTTCCCCTGGGCTGTCTGCTGGTGTTGGGAGCATGCAGGTGGGCCGTGGGGTGGTGCAGGTGGGGGGTATGCTGGCGGAGGAGGGGGATATGGGGGCGCTGCTGGTGGTGCTGGTGGCGGTGGTGGGTATAACAGCAGTGCTTATGGTGGTGGTGGTGGGGGAGGTGGGGCTATGGTGGGGGTGGGGAGGTTACGGTGGGGGGTTGGGGGGGTTTTGATGGTGGCAGGGGGGCAGGGGTGGTGGGGGCGGTGGTGGAGGAGGGGGGTGGGTCGTGCTTCAAGTGTGGGGGATCGGGCACTGGGCGAGAGACTGTCCTGCTGGTGGTGCTGGTGGGGGCGCAGGTGGTGGGGGTGGTTCGGGGGTGGGGGTGTGGTGGTTATGGTGGCGGTGGTGGCGGTGGGGGTGGGGGGGAGGGGGAGGGAGTGTGGTTCGTGTTTTAAGTGTGGGGGGTCAGGTCACTGGGCGCGAGACTGCCCTGGTGGTGGTGGTGGTGGTGGTGGGGATGGTGGTGGCAGGGAGAGGTGGATATGGTGGTGGAGGGTATGGTGCTGGCGGCTACTGAACAAGGGGTACTGAAGGTGGTTGCCGGGGGATGGCTGCAGAAGGATCACTACCGAACGAGATTCAGCATGTGCTTGATACCGATACTGTTTTGTTTTTGTTGCATTTCTTATGACGATTTAATTCCCTTGTATGTTTGGTTGAGTTTTTCAAAAGTTTTATGCTAACATGTGATTTGTGTGCTTAATAATTGATCAATTTAGCATCTACAGAGCCAATTCAAAGAAGTACCTCTGGTTGTCAGAAGAATCATTCCATTAATTTGGAGTGTTAGCTCATCATTCTATTTTAAAGGTAGCTCAATCATTTTAAAGGTTAGTGTTTCGTCCCCGTATATCTGAACAAATGAACATGGACCTGCTGTATGAAGCGCGAGAGCCAGTTTCCTATCGGGAAACGCTGTCAGTGTCAGAAATGCGCGGGAAATTTTGAACACCTCGGGACTGGCTCGCAGGTGCTGTGTACTTCCCATTGGCTCACCCACCTGGAGTCGCCCGGTAGCCTTTTGATAGGCCTCCTCTCCTCCCTCACAGAAATGCAAGCCCGAGGTGGGGAATCCGTGCTGCAAATTCCTAGGTTCTTCTCCCTCAACATTGTCTTCGGCTGCTGATCTATCAAGCCAGTTCCTCAGCGACTCCACAGGTTCGCGCTGGTAATTTCTTTTAGGCTCTTCACCATTTTAAAAGGGCTTTGCCTGGTCGTCCTCACGACGTTACCCTAGTCAAAGTCATATAGTTGCAATTGTTCCTATTTTATTTAGTAGTTTTGCCTTGTGGGCACGTCAGGTCAACTGCTTTGTTGACTCGCGCCAGTGAATTCGATCTTGGACACCTGACCGCTATAGTCCTCAGCGACGATTTTGAAAGAAATTGTAGAGTTTTGATAGAGACACGACAGGCCATATCTGTTGATAGCTTCCCGCTGCTTTAAAACTGAAGAGTGAGAAGACAATTAGGATTCAGAGTTCTCGTATTTCCACGACTAGCGATGGGGATTCCCGATGACCAAGCCGCCGGATCTAGCCGCCTCCATCATCTGGAGCTGAGCGATCATCGCACGGCGGTCAGAGCAGGCTGATCATCACGGAGATGGTCCTCGAGAACTTCAAGTCGTACGCTGGGGTGCAGCGCGTAGGTCCGTTCCACAAGTGCTTCTCGTCGGTCGTCGGCCCCAATGGCAGCGGCAAGAGCAACGTGATTGACGCCATGCTCTTCGTCTTCGGGAAACGCGCGAAGCAGGTACGTCTGCTGCTTAATCCAACGACAATAACTCCCTGGTTTGCTATGACTATGCCAATCGTGCGTGCGTGAATTCCTTTCGTGCAGTTCGTAAAAGCTTTCTGAAAAATCTGGCATTCACGGAACTGACTAATTTGTTTACATCCATGGCATATCCTTGCAGCTGCGACTGAACAAGGTGTCGGAGCTGATTCACAACTCCACAGACCATCAGAATCTTGAGTCGGCCCGCGTATCCGTGCACTTCAAGGAGATAGTTGATTTGGTAAGTCCAGGCTCTAGCAGCATAGAAGCAGCAAGCGACGGCCGTATTCGAACTCTGCCATGACGGTTTTTTCATCATGCGACGGAATTCTCAGACGCTGCATTCTTGGCGTTTCAGGATGACGAGAAGTACGAGTCAGTGCCAGGTTCGGAGTTCGTTATATCGCGTACGGCGTACCGCAACAACACGTCCAAGTACCACGTGGACGACCACGCGAGCACGTTCACGGAGGTGACGAGGCTGCTCAAGGCCAAGGGCGTCGACCTCGACAACAACCGCTTCCTCATCCTGCAGGTGCGCGCCGCTGCCAAGCTAGTAAAGACAGCGGTAGACGCGCGATTAGCCTGAACTTTGGGACTATCAAAGCACTGTCTGCTGGCCCCGTGGGTGTTAGAGTTCCCCTGATCCTGTTAGTACTTGTCAGTTGCCAGATTTATTCCCGCGCTCGTTCACTTGTCATCGTTGATAAAGACGTTCGTTCCCATTGCTCGTATCCGCGGCGCAGGGCGAGGTGGAGCAGATCGCGATGATGAAGCCCAAGGCGCAGGGCCCGCACGACGAGGGCTGCTGGAGTACCTGGAGGACATCATCGGCTCCAACCAGTACATCGAACAGATCGACAAGGGCGCCAAACAGTGAGCTCCCTCCACTGCCTACCTGCCTCCCTGCCTCTCATGCTTCGCCCGGCCGGTCGTTCTTGAGCGGTGTTGCTTGTTGGAATGGGAAATCGTGCGGTTTGGCTGTGGCAATGCGCCGACGGTTGTTGACTCGCGTGTGTGGTGCGGGTGTGGCGGCGTGTGCAGGCTGGAGGAGCTGAACGAGCGGCGGGTGGGGCTGGTGGAGCGAGTGAAGCACGCGGAGAAGGACAAGGACACGCTCGAGGTCAGAGTGGTGGCTGCTGCGGGGAGGTTAGGGGTGTATGGTGAATGCTGTAGGGGAACGAGAGGGAGATTGAGAAACATGTCTTGTTCTGCGTTTGCTGGTTGGAAGAGCCATGATGTCATGCGCTACCATCCTGCACTGTGTCCTCAACGCGCGATGCCCTCGTGCCCTCCCGCTAACCGTTTGCTCCCTCCCTGCCTGACCCCCTTTATGCGCGCTGTGCGGCAGGAGGCGAAGCGGGCGGCGGAGGCGTACATGGTGAAGGAGGCGCAGTGCGCGCAGTGGGCCATGGTGGGGCGCGCGATGGGGCTGCGGGAGTCGCAGGGCAAGGCGGGCGCGCTGGGCGCCAAGGTGGCGGGCTGGAGGGCACGCTGGCCGCTGAGAAGTGAGTGGGGGGGTTGATGGGGCGAAGAGCTGCACGAAATGAAGAGGGTAGGCCGTAGGAAGGGGTAAAGGAATCGCAGAGGAAGGAAGGTCAGAGGACCAGCGTGGGGAAGTGGGATGGGGAGTGGGATACGCACGGGAGAAATGTGAAGCGGGTGAGTGTGCTCGTGTACGTTGACCAGGATTCATGTGCCTCCATCTCCGTGCGTGCGTGCAGGGAGAAGTGCTCCGGGCTGCGGGAGGAGCTGCAGGTGAAGACAGACGCGTGCGACAAGTGCAACACGGAGTATGAGGTGAGCCAAACGGAGGGACGACAGCAGTGAGGGGTCGTTCGCGAGGGGTGGAGCGGGCGTGTGTGGTTGGATCCCCAACGAACTGTGGGGAGAGAGCGAAAGGGTTGAACAGGAAGGACGGCTGAGGTGTTTGCTTGTCAGCTGTAGAGACCCGCGAGTTCACTGCGTGGCAAGCGACGCATTGCATCTTTCACCTTTCACCAGCGTGACTCCATGTGTTCCACTGCACTGCACTGCACTGCACGGCGTGGCAGGCGCTGTGCGGCGAGCTGGAGGCGGCGAGGGCGGACTTCAAGGAGTACGAGCGCAAGGACGTGAAGATGCGCGAAGACCTCAAACACTGCAAGGCGCGCCTCAAGAAGCTCGCCGATAAGATCGCCAAGGTGAGCTTCGCACCTCCACGCATGTGCCAGACGTTCAGTAACCGCCAAGATCACAGGCTGTTGCCTAGGGCGTCATTTCACGACCTGGGTGGGATTGTACTGCTGCTTCTCGCTTGAGCTTGCGTGAGCCTCTCGCCTTTCTTACAGAAGTGTTTCCGTGTTGAACTGAACAGGACACGGCCAAGGCGGAGGAGGTGGAGAAGGCAGCGGCGGAGGCGGAAACGGCCATCCCCGAGTTGGAGAAGAAGGCAGCCGCGCTGGCGCCTCGGCTGGTGGAGGCGGAGAAGAAGCTGGAGAGCATCCAGGAGCAGGTCCGAGGTGAGCCGCCGTGAGTCTCATGTTCCCTCCTCTCCGTTCCCCCAGCAGCCCCTGTGACTAACAACAACTTATCTGAACTTACCTTTGTGATGTGTGTGGCAGTGGAGGTGGAGCGGCAGCAGCAGCAGCTGGGCCCGCTGCAGGAGCAGCTGGCGCCGTGGGAGGAGAAGGCGAGCGCCGCCAAGGCCAAGGCGGACGTGACGCGCACGAAGCTGAGCCTCATCCGCGACAAGCACGCCGCCGCTGAGAAGCAGCTGGAGGCGGTGCGCAAGGCCATAGAGGAGCGCGAGGAGGGGCGGAAGCAGAAGCAGGAGCAGCTGAAGCGCATGGAGGCGGCCGTGAGGGAGAGCGAGGCGGTGGTGGCCGCTAGCGCCAAGGAGGAGGAGACCAAGGCGGAGGAGGAGGCAGCTGCGCGCGCAGAGGCGGAGGCTGCACAGGGGCGCGCGGCGGAGATGAGGGAGGCGGCAGCGGCGCAGCGCAGCAGCAGCGCCATCCTGACGGCGCTGATGCAGGCGAAGCGGGACGGCAGCATCCCCGGCATCTACGGCCGCCTGGGCGACCTGGGCGCCATTGACGGTGAGGCGCTTCAAGGGGGACAAGTGGGGGAGTAAGGGCATGATTTGGTGATATCAAGAGCGTTTTCGCATGCTGGAGTAGATGGTGGTATGCTTTTCAAATGTGTCCTCATCAACCCCTGTCTCGCGCTCACCGCTCACCTTGCGTTCTCGCTTATGCGCGGCATGGCATGCTATGTGCAGGCAAGTACGACGTGGCGATATCAACGGCGTGCGGTGCACTGGAGTACATAGTGGTGGACAACATCGAGACCGCACAGGCCTGCACGGCGCTGCTCAGGGAGCAGCAGCTGGGCGTGCAGACCTTCCTCGCCCTGGTACACCCCCTGCGCCTTGTTGGTTCCTTGCTCGTTGCCTTCCCGTCCTATGTGCTGTGCAATTCCCGCAGTTTCTGAGCTCTCTCTTTCAAATTACCGCCACTGCAACATTTCTGCTCGCCCTCCATCCCGCTTCCACACAGTCGTTTCTCACTCATTTTCCCTCCGCCACTCCTCTCTTTAACCCCCCCAACCCCCTCTCCGCTCCCACCATGCGTCAGGACAAGCAGCAGCACCTGGTGCGGGACATGTCTGAGAAGGTCAACACGCCGGAGGGAGTGCCACGGCTGTTCGACCTGGTGCAGGTGCAGGACGCGCGCCTGCTGCCCGCCTTCTGGTTCGCCCTGCGCAACACGCTCGTCGCCTCCTCCCTCGACCAGGCCTCGCGCATCGCGTACGGCGCGGACGCGCGGTTCAGGCGGGTGGTGACGGTGGCGGGCGAGATGTTCGAGTCCAGCGGCACCATGGCGGGCGGCGGGGGGCGGCCCCGCGGCGGCCGCATGGGCAGCTCGCTGAAGGCGGCGGCGGCGGCGGCAGGCGGGGGGGTGACGCGGGAGATGGTGGAGGAGGCGGAGAGGGAGGTGGCGCACGCGGTGGCGCAGCTGGAGCGAGTGAGGGAGGAGAGGCGCGCGGCTGTGGCGAGAAGAGAGGAGGCGGAGAGGGTGTTGAAGCGGCTGGGAATGGACATTCCCAAGGTCCAGATGGAGGTGCGCAGCAGGGGCGGGGAGGGAACTAGCTGGGTAACCGCTTATGTTTGACACCGTCTCCCTTTGATGCTCTTGGATGTTGCACTGCTCACAGTTCACGCCTCTCACGCATGTCACTCTCTCCCTCGTTCTCTCTCCCGTCCCGGGCAGATTGAGTCGCTGGCAGCGCAGGTGGGCGAGCTTAGGCAGCGCGTGCAGGGGCTGCAGGCAGCGGCCGTGGCGAGTGCGGAGGAGGAGAGGCAGATGGGCGCGCTGCAGCAGCAGCTGGCGGACGAGGAGGGCGAGGAGGCGCGCATTGGGGAGGAGATGGCGCCGCTGGTGGCGGCGGTGGCGCGCGTGCAGCAGGCCATCGCTGATGCCGGCAGGGAGGCGCTGGGCCAACAGAAGGACCACGTGGCCGCCATCCAAAAGGTGGGGCGTGGGGTCGTAGGGGCGAGCTGCAATGAAATGAGTGATGAGTGCTGGGGGTGGCAAGGGGATGAGCAACTGGGAATGAAGGTCTTGCGAGGGCACTGGGTCACATGTGCCAGGGTTGATTGCGTATGCATGTCAACCATACTATACACAACCCAGCCGTGCTTAGCCGCAGGGAACACAGATGAGTGGAACCTGTCCATTCACCATTCCCCTATGATGTGCTGTCACAGGCCATTGACGAGGCGCAGACGGGCATCAACCAGAGCCGAGTGACAGTGGCCTCAAGTGGCCGCAACCTGGAGAAGCTGAGGAAGGCGGTGGGGGAGGCGGAGGAGGAGAAGGCGAGGGCGGAGGAGGAGATGACACGGAAGAAGGAGGAGATGAACGCCGTCATGCAGGAGGCCTTCGCTGTCAACGACAACTACGAACGCCTCCGCCAGGTGCGCTGAAGAGCGGGGTAAAGGAATGGCCTCTCGCAAAACGTTCTTTGTCCCCTCACCTCCACTTTTCCCTCTTTCCTTCATAATTTTCTAAATCTGTTTCCATCCTTCTCTTCCTCGTCTACCTGTGCTGGCATGGCATGTGGTGGGGGCAGTTGGTGGAGGGCAAGAAGGAGGAGTATGGCGGCATGAAGAAGGAGTTCCTGGCCATCAAGGCACAGCTCGACAAGATGCGCACCGGGGAGGTGAGATGCGCACCGGGGAGGTGAGATGCGCACCGGGGAGGTGAGATGCGCACTGGGGAGGTGAGATGCGCACTGGGGAGGTGAGAGGAACAGACAGCAGGTGAGACGGGTTGAATTTGAGTGGAGTACTCTTATCGAGCATTACCTTTTTCTGGGGTCCCTTCTTCTCCACATCCTCTGACATCACTTCTCGTGCCCTCAGGTGGACGTGGAATTGAAGCTGGAAGATGCGAGGAAGGCGCTGAGGACGAGTCAGGAGACTGCTCGCCTGCAGAGGGAGAAGCTGAGGTCGCTGGGAGCGCAGCTCAGGCAGCACATCGCTCAGTGAGTCCATCGCACAGCTCCGTGCTGCAGCTGCCTCTTACAGCACACACTAGTGCACCTTCACACGATCCCGAAGCCTCTTCTGTACAAGGCCCAAACCCATCCCCTCATCTCTCCTGTGCCCACCATCCGTCCGTGCCCTTTCCAGGATGCAAGCGGAGGGCATTGCAGAGGAGGACGTGGAGGCTGCAGGGCTGCCATGGGACCTTCAGGAAGAGGATGGGGAGAGACAGGGCAGGGCACGACCAGCAGCAGCAGGCGCAGCAGAAAGAGGAGGAGGGGAGGATGAGGAGATGGAGGAGGATGAAGATGCAGAGCAGAGGGAGGGAGGTGCGGGTGAGACAGGGACGGAAGATGAGGGAGACGGTGAGGTGGAGAGGCTTCTGGGTCGCCTGTGTGGTAACCTTGTCCGTGCGGTTACCAGTCGGGAGGAGGCGGCAGCAGGGGAGCAGCGGCTGCGAGCAGAGTTGGAGGCACTCAAGGGGAACGTCAACCTGAGCTCCATGGCCGAGTGAGTGCGCTGCCTGCTGCCACTGGATGGCTCTCGTTCATGAACGTATGTGAGTGGCAGGAGTGTCTAGATGAGTAGCAAAGAATCAGTGTGAGCAGTAGTGGGTGTGTGAGCATGGTCTAAACCTTTTACCATCTGCTTCTACCTTGGACCTTCTCTGTGGGTGCGCGGTGCAGGTACCGCAAGAAGGAGGCGGTGTACGCGCAGAGGCTGGGCGAGCTGGAGGCAGTGACAGCGGAGCGTGACAGCGTGCGCGTGGCGCAGGAGGAGGTGAAGCGGCGGCGGCTGGAGGAGTTCATGGCGGGGTTTGACGCCATCACGATGCGGCTCAAGGAGATGTACCAGATGATAACACTGGGCGGCGACGCTGAGCTGGAGCTGGTGGACTCACTCGACCCGTTCAGCGAGGGCATTGTGTTCTCCGTGCGCCCGCCCAAGAAGAGCTGGAAGAACATCTGCAACCTCTCGGGCGGGGAGAAGGTACGGCGCTGCCTGCTTCCCTGGATCGGGGTGCTAATGCTTCCGGCAAGGCGCCAGGCATCGCCCTGTGCCGATGCGCTTGTGCTTTACAGTGCCGCAGTGCCATGGCATTAACGGCTTTTTAAACTGCCCGACTCCTTACCGTCTTGCTGTGCTTATCCCACTGCTGCAGACCCTGAGCTCGCTGGCGCTGGTGTTCGCCCTGCACCACTACAAGCCCACGCCCCTCTACGTCATGGATGAGATCGACGCCGCTCTTGGTGAGTCCCACACGGGCCTTGAGTGCTGCCTTCGGTGTACAGTGAGAGAATGAACGGGGGAATGATTGGAAGCATATAGCACAAGAGAATGGGAAAGGTCAAAAGAGCATGGTGAAACCAAGCAATGCGAAATTGCGTCCTGTCATGCTTCCTGCAATGCACCTTCGTGGTTGGGCACGAGAAAATGTTCATGTGCTGCTGTGTGTGTGGCTCTTGGTCTGTGCCGTGCAGACTTCAAGAACGTGTCTATAGTGGCGCATTACATCAAGGAGCGCACTAAGAACGCCCAGTTTGTCATCATCAGGTGTGATTCACGCATTGTGCCTCATCGCGCTTCTCCCTGGGTTCCAATCGTATGCCTCCCTGCATTCGTGAAGGATTTCCCTATTGCATATTTTGTTTTCATAGTATCACTCCTCAATACTGTCTGACGTGTGTCTCTTCCTTGTTCCACAGCTTGCGCAACAACATGTTTGAGCTGGCAGACCATCTTGTTGGGATATACAAGACACACAACTGCACCAAGAGCATCACCATCAACCCACGTAGCTTTGCAGTCGCGGCTGCTCCTACAGCCGCAGCTGTTCCAACTGCTGCGACCTAATAGATATACATAAGAACTGTTCCAGAAACTATTATATTTACATGATATTTGTGATTCCCTCCGTTACAACAAATATGCGAGCGATATGTATGATACGGTAGCCCAATTATGGAATGTTTTTTGCACCTTATATGTTGCCCCCTGTCTAGCAACATATTGAGGTTGCACGTTATTTGTTGCTCAATATTTAGCAACATAACGAGGTAATAAAGCGAATGAATCTCCCGCGACCAGCAGCATTCACGAAAAGAAGCACCTTGTTCATTCGTGAGCATCTCTGTGCTTCACTTCTGCTATTGTCGATTTCATTCCTCTTCGCCGTCGTGTGCTGTGTGCTTAGCAACTCCAAGGCGCATTTACGCCTTCTCCTTGAGTCGTATTCCTATCTTCTTACGACATTTAGTTATCCATGAGAATCGGAATATTGTGCCAGGCCATAGTTCCGACGTCCGTTTCGGATCTACCTGGTTAGTCGGGTTAGGGATCTTCCATTTCGTTTGTCCGCCGACTGTTTCATCTTTCATCATATCTTGGCGGGTTTTGTACCAGCTGCTCCGGTTTTCGCTCTCTTCGCCTATAGTCGTAGGCGCGACCATGGCTTCTGAGGATCTGCCTCGTGGATCCGTAGCCGTCATGTCGGAGGTGGAGGTCATGTTCGCTTTCCTTGCCTACGCCGTTCCAGTAGTGGCGATGATCTCGTACCACAAACGCAGGTATGAACACAAACTTTCACTCTCATGCAGATTCTGACTTGATCTCACACCGAATGCAGGATTTGATTGATGATGAGCAATAACCTTACGTATCAATTCTTAACACAAAGCAGGCAATGACTTGGTTATTATGTACGCAACTATCACCAAGTTATTCGTACTGCTAACACAGGTGAAGACATAACCAGGTTATGGCATGGTTGAGTTGTGGTCATCTTTGCAGGCATTGACGTTGACATATTTATTCACCTCAGTTTTAGAAGCACCTGTGCTATGATAGCGGGTACGGGTATATTCCGTTCACTCGAACACAATTGCACTGACGTAATTAATACACAAACTCTGGTATTGACATGACTTCTTAGTGGTGACGCAGGTGTGAACTTGATTTTTTACTACAAATCCAGGTGCTGCTGCGAGTGTAACAGAGGCGCTGATATCATGTGAATAATACAAAGAAGGATCAACTGCTTTTGAATGCTGGCTCTGACATGTTTTTACCGTAATAGCATTTTGGAAGTGCTGTAGTTATGACAACAAATGCAGGTACAACCCTTTCAGGCACTCCTCTGCTTAAATCCCTTTTTTAACTCTCGACCTCTCTTTCCTCTACCACGTTTCCCCGGTCATGCCAGCACCCAGTGGTACCATAACCACATGGCTGCAGCATTCGGTCCTGACTGGAGAAACCACTCTCCAGTGGCTGGTCTGCGAGCAGCCAATGAGGAGGCAACACAAAGCAAGAGGCTCCCCACCTTGCCGGAGCACCCAGAGGAAGAGCAAGAGGAGAAAGAGCAACAGGAGAGCGCAGGGGAGGGAGAAGGGGGCGAGAAGAAATCTGGCAAAGGAGAAATGGGAGAAGAGAAGGAGCAGCAGCAAAAATCCCAAGAGGGGATGAAGGGGGAACAGCTGGAGAAGGAGAAAGAAAAGGTTAAGGCAGGCCAGAGAGATCAGCGAGCGAGCCACAGGTCACTTTTCAACATGCGGAATCTGAGCAGTCCTACTGTCTTCCTTCCTGCCATTATTGCCCTCCTGATGGCCGTGCCTCTTGGCCTTGGGAGTGGGTTGATTGGCTTCATGCATGGAGTGGTTTTGGGCCCACAGGAGGCCATCACTTCTGCGCTGTATGGTGTAGCTGCTGGAGCACTGTATCCATTTCATCTGCTTGGGTTGCTCAGAGACCAAAAGCATGCACATCAAGATTAGGAGCCATGTGTTGTTTGTTGCCTTGTTTCACTCTGATAAGGCGTCCTAGCAGACGGGATAGGTAGGCTAGTAGTGCCTTCTACATACTGCATCAAATCTGTGGCTCCTGTTTTCTGATTGTTCTGCCCCACATGTGAATAAAATGGCGAAGGGAGCCAAAAACAGAATGTGTCAGATATTAGTTGGTACTGGTACTAGGTAAGGTTTACACTTTAGGGGTATTATTTAGCAGGCTGAACAGGGAATCTGAGAGGGAGAACCCAAGGCACTTGGCCATGTCCTTGACCCTAACGTCAGGCCGAGGATCCCCTCTGGCAACCAGCCATGCATGGATGATGAAGGCCTTGTTCATGGTCCATAGCTCCACAGCCTCTGGATTGAACACCAAACCCATGCGCTTGCTCATCTGGTGGAGGCAGGCAAGTTGGGAGGATGGAGAGTATAAGGATGTGTGGAAGAGTGGGAAGAGAGCAGGGGGGCAGCCTATGGCCCAAGAGTCAGAATTGGCTCATATGGGGGGTGTGGCATGATTCCCACCTGATGCGGCACCAGCATTGCAGCATACCGTCCCAGCTCTCCCGCTCGCCAGTCCAGCACTGCTGGCAACCACGGATAGGCGGCATCCAGACGGACGAACCACAGGCGGACATCTGGCAGCTCGGACAGTTCCCGAGGGTCAATGGGGTCGTCTCTTTCGTATTTGATGGTGAAGCCCAGGCGGCGAGTGAGGAGAGGCGATGGGTCGGAGAGGGGAGGGGACGTGTTGTCGCCTATCTGTGCGACGAATGGTCGCAGGACCTGGTGCGCGACGGTGAGATCAAGGCTGCGAATCATCTCCTTGGTCACGTGAATCTCGAACCGGTCCTCCGTTGGGGGTGGGGGTGGCGTGATGTTGGACTCTGGATCTGAGAGGCGATGAGGAAGCGATGGAAGTTAAGAAGAAGGATGAGGCAGCCAAAAAACGACGAAACCTAGACGAATGAAAGGAAGCAGCGAGAGGATCACACCACTCACCGTTCAATTCGTCTTCAAGGCTAAAGCTTAGGTCTTTCGAAGGGTCGTACACGGCTGCTCTCGTGCTCGGCCGTGCATGACCGCAACGACAGTTGTGTCTATCATTATGAGTTTGTCTGGCAGTACCGCGGGCTGATCTCATTGCCGTGCAGAAAATGCCTACGCAACGGGTGCTAACGGTCACATTTCTCACTGAAACGGGGGCCTTGAGGAGCTCGTCGAGAAATATGGAACGAGGAGCAAATACAGACATGTCTGAACGCCTCGATTGCACATTAACGGAAGGAAGAGCGCGACGATCAATCAAGCTATTCGTCTGAACGAGACACCTCGTCGCCGCCATTGTGCTGCAGAGTGTTAAGGACTCAGGCCTAACACGACTGCCCCAGTCTAATAAGTCGGTTTTGATCAGTCAGCTTCGTTCATGATTGAACTGAAGCTCATACATTCACCCTAATCACTACTGTGCCTGACAGTGCATCACGGAACAGCAGCGAGCGGGTGGCAGCTCGGGGAACAGACGCCAGGGAGATGTGTAACTCGGATCGATGTGGCAGCACGTCTGTGCCTGGAGATTCTCGAGGTGCCTCAGGGGAACCGACCTGCTTTCGCTGAATTCCAGATCGGACCACAAGGAAGTCAATTCGCTAACTCTGGTTACACTCTCCGTCACAGCATTTCCTCGCGAAAGCCCATCTGTTTCTGAGAAAAAGTGCAGAGCAACTGACATGTCAGCGCGCGGGGGGGAGTGCTGTGCTGGTTGCACTGCGCGCAAACACCTGCACCGAAAAGCTGTAAATATCTCAACCAACACATGATCGCCACCGCAAGGCCAGATCAATCAAACCCAAACCATTTTTCTGCATTGCAGCTTTTCCTCAGCAATTCAGGAATCCATCAGGCGTGGTATAGTAGCTAAAGGCGTGACATTCTTTGTGCTTCCACCTGAATCTGGACTTACCAAGTTTCAGCATAGGATAGTCGACGCAATTGATGACTAAGGTCGATCGGCCCGGAACCAGCCACTTCTAAGGTCGACATTAGCGTTGTAATCTCGCGAATTCAGCCTGGCCGAAGCTTTCCTGATGCATGTTGGTTACAACTATCAGCTTCTCGACAACGGTTTGCACGGCGCGTTCACCGGTCATGATGGCGAACGCGATTTCTCTCACTCAGCCAAGCCTTCGGCCTCCAGCAGCGGGGGTGGTGCATCCATACCGCCGTATCCACGACACTGATCCTTCAGGTCCTCCGCCTCGCAATAATGCAGGCTTCCCATACTTGGGAATTCTTAACACGAATAAGCGGCTCATGTTTATAACGCGTACGGAATCACATTCATCTGGCTCAGTGTTAGTCGCGGCCAGAAGCAGCCATTGTTTAAGCCGATCAGCTCTGGTACTACCCTCCACCCGGCTCACCACCCCAACCACCCTGGCTACTGCACCGCTCTCAACCCATCACAGTCTCAGGCTGAGTCAACAGCCATCGGCGCGCCTCACTGGCCGCATGTACCACGAGCTCACCTGTCGCCAGGCTTTTCTCTCCCCCCGCAAAACCCTCTTCTCCTCAACTTTCCTTCCCTCTCCCTGCCAACCGTCGCTGCAACCACGCCTGCTCTCCGACTGTTCCTGCTGTGTTCCCCACAACCCCCACCCATCCTCCGCCAGAGCGTCCGCCTCCTCCTTCTCTCAAAACGGCGCCTCTTCTTATCCGCCTTACCAGCAACCCCCGTACCGCCACCAACAACCCTCTTTCCCACCACCCCTCTCCTACCCGCCTCCGTTCCCCACCCCATCACCTTACCCTCACACCCTCCCGCTACCGTCACACTCGTTTCAACCGCAAGCGGCGTCGGCAGCATGTCCGCCCGGCGTGGCCGTGTTCTGGGACTACGAGAACTGCCCCGTGCCCGTCGGCGCCGACTGCGCTGCGCTCGTGCGCCGCCTGCGCGACTTGGCGCGCGCGTTCGGCGCGGTGCGGAGCGTGCGCGCGTACGGGAAGCCGGAGGAGGTGCATGCGCGCATGGTGGGGAAGATGGGCGCGTGCGGCGTGGAGGTGGTGGCGGTGGCGGCGGGCAAGGAGATGGCGGACAAGGCCATCATCACGGACGCGCTGCTCTTCGCCCTCGACGAACGAGAGATGAACCGGTGAGGTCACTCGGGTGGCGAGGGGGGTAGCGGCGGATGTAGAGGCGAGTGCAGCTCTCTGAACAGTCGTCCCTCCCTTGTCTGCATCCCTCACGTCATTCTTCCGTCCTGCCCCTTCTCTTGCATTCCTGCACCTCCTTGGCACGCCTGCCGCCCTGCAGAGCTGTGGCGCCGTGCGTGGTGGTGGTATCAGGCGACGTGGGGTTCGCGGGTGTGCTGGCGAAGCTCACCAACCGCGGCGTCACCACCGTGCTGCTCGCGCGCCCGCGCAAGAACGGCAGCAAGGGCAAGCGCGGCACCATCCCCGCGCCCCTCGCGCAGTCGGCGATGGTGACTCTTGACTGGGACCAGCTCATCGCCGCGGGGGACAGCGGTGCCGCCGGGGAGAACGGGTGGAGGAGCGGCAAAGCGGGCGACGATGGTGGTGTTGCTGATGCGGGGAATGGGGGTGCTGCTGCTGCAGTTGCGCGCGGTAGCAGCATCTTTGGTAGCAGCAACAGCAGTGCTGGTGGTGGTGGTGTGAACGGCAGTGGCAGCAGTGCAGTAGATTCGTTTAGTGCTATCCGCAGCGGCAGTGGCAGCAGCGGTAGTGCTGGGGTCTCCACCTCAGGCAATGGCAGCCTCAACGGCAATGGCAGCGCCAACGGCAGTGCCCTTAGTAGTGGCAGCAGCAGCACCGGTGCTGGTGGGACGTCAGGCAGGGAGGGGACGGAGACGATAGGGGGTGGGAGGGAGGGCGAGGAGGAGGTGCAGCAGCGGCTGCGATGGCTGGAGGAGCGCCTGCGCCACGTGGAGAGGGGCTCGGCGAGTGGTGGGAGGGACAGCACGACCAGCAGTAGTAGCGCGTGTGATGGGGCGAGTGAAGCAGCAGGTGACGCAGGTCAAGACATGACCCCCGCAGGCAGCGCCCAAGCTGTACCGCCGCCGGAGCTCAAGGCAGGTGAGGCAGCGCCGTCCCACGCAGAGGCAGGAGGGGCTCCGCGCAGGGAGTCGTGGGCGGAGGTGATGGCGCGCGCCCTGCCCGTGCGCGCGCCCGCGGACGTGCTGACAGCGCGCCTGCGCGCCCACATGCTTACCACGCTCGCCGCCCACGGCGCTGTGACCACGTCCGCCCTGTTCGTGGCGTACCAGCGCGTGTGGGGGCGCCAGCTGCGCCTGGCGGACTACGCGCTGCGCGACGTGAAGGCGCTGGTGGCGCTGCTGGCGGACGTGGTGGCGGTGAGCGAGGGGTGGCCGGGGCAGGCGGCGCGCAAGAAGATGAGCGTGGAGGCACGCGAGGCCATGGCGCGGCGAAGAACCTTCTCCCTCGTGCGCTCGCACGGCAACCTGCGCGCGCTGGCGCTGGTGCAGTCACGGCTGCGCTGCGTGGTGGTGGCTGTGCTGCAGCAGCACGTGGCCCGCGCGGATGCCGCCTACGCTGCTGCTCGCTCTGCACGGGGCAGCAGGAGTGGGGACGGCGTGGGGTTGAGTGAAGGCAGCACTAGTGGCAAGGATGGGAGCAGCAGGAGCGATACAAATGGCAGTGCGAGTGTCATCAGCAGCGGCGGCAGCGGTGGCACAAGGGGTAATGCACGCGACAGGAGGGCGAGCCGGTGGATGGCGGTGGAGGAGGTGGGCGCGGCGGTGAGGCGCGCGTGCAAGGAGAGGCTGGGCGCGGTGCTGGCCCGGCACGGGTACGGGCGAGACGCCTTCTGCAACGTGTCTGAGAAGGCGCGGCTGGTGGCGGTGCTGGCTGACATGCCCGACCTCGTGCGCCTCAAGAAGCTGCGAGGCGCGGGGGGCGTGGTGCTGGTGGGACTGGTGGCGGGCGCTGAGGCGGACCCCCTCGTGGCGCAGTGGGCCGAGCGGAACGAGGGGCTGTGGGATGGGCGCGTGTACTCATGGCAGGACAGCCGTGGAGAAGGGGATGATGAGCTGGATGAGGGGAAGGAGAGCGATGAAGAGGAGGAAGAGGACAAGGAGGAGGAGGAAGCGGATATTGGGAGGTGGGTGGTAAGGGAGGCTGTGAGGAAAGGAGGCGAGCGGGGCATGTTGGGTGATGGAAGTGAGGGCGATTGGAGTGAGGAGGGGAGTGATGGAGAGGAAGGGGAGGAAGAGGAGGAAGAGGATGAAGAGGAGGAAGAGGATGAGTGGTGGGAAGATGATGAGGAGGAAGAGGAGGAAGAGGAGGAAGAGGAAGAGGAAGAGGAGGAGGAAGAGGAGGAGGAAGATGAGGAGGAAGAGGAGGAAGGAGAGGAGGAGGAATATGAGGAGGAGGACGAGTATGGGTTTCTGGCAACAAGGGATATGTACGAGGAAGAGGAAGAAGAGCACTCATGGCAGGGCAGGGAGGCGACGGAGGGCAGGGGGGACAGGGAGGGCAAGGAGAGCAGGAAGGGCAGGGAGGGCGGGGTGCAAGTAGCAGGTGGGGGGCGCATGGGGGAGGATGGTGGCGTGGTGGGTGGGCGTGGCAGCGCATACAGTGAATGGGGCGAGAAGGCGGAGGGCGAGAGCGCGCAAGAGCAGGGCAGCAGCGCGGGCGTAGGGGCGGAGCAGGCACATGGAGCCTCGTTTGCGCGTGGCGAGTGCAGAGCAGGGGCAGCAGGCGGTGGGGGTGTGGAGGGATACCGTGTGGTGGCAGGGTGGCAGGAGTGGCAGGGCGAGGAGGGCGAGGAGTATGCATACTATGCGGGATATGACAGCCATGAGAGTGAGAGGGAGGGGGATGGAGATGCTCGTATGAATGGTGCACTGCATGCGCTGTATCACCCGCCTCTCATTGCGCCCGTGGATGCTGCACCGTCATCTTCACCTGCAGTGTCACCTTCACCTGCAGTGTCACCTTCACCTGCAGTGTCACCTTCACCTGCAGTGTCACCTTCACCTGCACCGTCACCTTCACCTGCAGTGTCACCTTCACCTGCACCGTCACCTTCACCTGCAGTGTCACCTTCACCTGCACCGTCACCTTCACCTGCAGTGTCACCTTCACCTGCACCGTCACCTTCACCTGCAGTGTCACCTTCACCTGCACCGTCACCTTCACCTGCAGTGTCACCTTCACCTGCACCGTCACCTTCACCTGCAGTGTCACCTTCACCTGCAGTGTCACCTTCACCTGCACCTTCACCTGCCCCTTCACCTGTCCCTTCACCTGCCCCTTCACCTCCCCCTTCACCTGCCCCTTCACCTGCCCCTTCACCTGCCCCTTCACCTGCCCCTTCACCTGCCCCTTCAGCTGTCTCTACAGCTGCCCCTTCAGGTGCGGTGCCCCATGGTGGTGCTCATGCTGCTGCACCTCCTGCGAGCAAGGCTGATGATGTTTCTGCGGAAGCACCCCTTCCCACTCCTGCATTTTCTCTTACTCCTGCTCCTGCTCTCACTACTCCTACCACTGCTGCTGCTGATGATGCTTCTGTCTTCGCTGCTACTACCGCTGCTGTGCCTGCACTTGCCTTGGTCGGTGGGAAGGACAATGAGCACCAGGGCAGCAGCAACGGAGGGCAGCGGGCTGACGGTGTGCCCACAGCCGTGCAGTCCGCCCCGCGCCTTGCTCGCCTTGCTCGCCACCCACCCCACCCGCCTGCTGCCTCTGAGCTCGCCCAGGGGGACGTGGGTCAACTGTTGCAGCACCACGCACACCCCGCTCCCCTGCACAAGCCAGACTGCCATGCCCAACACTCCCCAGGTGCTGCCCACACCACAGCGTCCCACGACCCGCTGTGGCCCGCCGTGTTTGCCTCCTCGTGTGCCCTGCGCTCGCCCCTCGAGCTCGCCCTCCTGCGCTTCTCCCTCCGCACTCTCACTCTCCTCGCCGCGCGCGGCCCGCTCCCTCTGGCCGGCATGGCTCGGGAGTTTGTGCAGCGCGGCTGGTGGAGGCCCGACCCTGCTCAGGTGGATGTGGATGCGCTGGTCAGGCCGATTGCCACGGTGGTGCGTGATTACAATGAGTACTCATATGTCGAAGGAGGTAGAGCGGTGGGAGGAGAGGAAGGTGCGGCGGGGGGTGAGGGAGCCAGTGTGGTTGGTGTCGCAGCCACTCGTGATTCTGGTGAGGGTGGTAACTCTGGTGGTGGTAAAGCTGTGGCTGCGGCTCCTTGGGTTGTGGGAGCAGCGGTGAATGGGAGGGGATGGGTGCAGCGCGAGCAGAGGCTGGCAGTGGCTGAGAGTGAGAGGGCGTTGCAGCTGCTGAGTCTCGTGCAGTCTGGGCTGCGCCGTGTGGTGCTGGGGGTCATGCTCACACACGGTGCTGACTGGGATGCCCCCCCTGCTCCCAGTGAACCCTTTGAAAAGGACAGCTTCAGACGAAGCAGCTGCAGCAGCAGCAGGTGGATGTGGCTGGAGGAGCTAGCAGGCAGGCTAGAGGAGCACACTGGTCATTCCCTGCCAAGCCTGCTCGCCAGGCATGGGTACGGCAGCCGTGCCTTCCCCAGGTGGTCCGTGAAGGCCCGGCTGGTGGCACTGCTGGGTGACATGCCTGACCTCGTGCGCGTGGGTGGCGGAGAGGCGCTGCTGCCTAAGGCGGAGGTGACCCAGGGGGAGCACAGGGGCGCACTGAAACACCATGACACAAACATGTGCGAGGGTGAGCGGTGGAAAGATCAAAGTTATGAGGAGGGTTTTGAAGCAGTGGGAGAGATGAATATGTGGAGGGATGGGTGTGTGGATGACGAGGAGGCGGCTGAGGAGTGGTGGCTGGAGATGGATGGCGGGGAATGGGCCGACAGTGATGACCTGGGCCTGCGGCACTGCGGCCTGGTGGTGGTGCTGGCAGGGGGTGCTGAGCTGGACCCGCGCTTCAAGACATGGCACGTGCGCAACGAGGGCAGGTGGGACGGGCGCGTCTACTCCATGGCTGGGCTCAGCCTCGGGATTGCCTCCGCGCTTGCTTCTTCTGGCGGAGGTGTCGAACAAAGGGTGCAAAGTGATAGATTCAAACGTGAGGGGAAGGATAAGGTGTGGGGAATGGATGGGATGGGGTATGATGATGGTCTTACGAGCAGAGACGGTGTGAGGGACGATGTGATGGAGCGTGTGGTGATCCATGTGAGTGAGTGGGTGGTGAATGTGCCGAAGGGATTTGACGTGGAGAGAGTGGTCGAGATGGAGAGGAAGTGGAGGGAGGAAGATGCGGAAGTTGAAGTGAGAAGTGAAGTGGAGGAGGATTTGTTCGAAGTGATATAGGAAAGGTGGCACAGAATAGGGATGTGGTGTATAGGACCCATTGAATATTTCTAGTGGTTGCCCTTATTTGATTTGTTGATTCCATAATTCCTGATGCGATATCCGCGCTATATCTGCGCGAAACCGACCCCTCCCCTCCACCACATTCGCGTCATTCCCCCAGATGCAAAGCACATTCTCTTGGACTGATCTGCCTGGATTTGGTCTCACAGCGTCATCTGATTTCGATAGCTCTCGAGTGCCATGTCCGTCAGCTGGTTCGATTTCGAGTCTCGGCCAAGGCCGTAGCGACGCCACGTTACCTTCCGCTTTGACGCTATGCTTTTCTGACATTTCCTTACTCCACAGTCGCCATGCGCTAGCTTTCCCACAATGCTCAGACGCGCTGCCGCCAAGGGCCCACCGACTGTTACCGCGGAAGGGGAGGCTAGTTTTGCGCGCTCCACGAGGATCGCCTCTTTCTTCGGTGTTTTATTCCTACTCGTGGTTACCACGTCTTGTTACACCAATCGGTACTTCGCTACCGTTTCAGAGGATTCCGTTCATCCAGATGACCTCAGCGATCAGGAATCCATGTCGGAAGCTACCGTCAAAGATAGAGATCAGACGTTTCCGACAGTGGAGGCGAGTGCGACGGAGAAGCTCGCATTCCTCTTCCTCACGCGAGGCCCGCTCCCCCTCGCGCCGCTGTGGGACCGAGTCTTCCAGGTGCGCCTCGCCGCTCCCTCGCTCCCTCACGCTCCCTCACGCTCCCTCCCGCTCCCTCACGCTCCCTCACGCGTGCATACCGGGTTCTTAGGTGCGCGTTGGTGGGATTTTACGCGATTTGCTAGCCTCGGATGATGTAGCCTGCTCGCTCTGCGATCACGGCCACACGCCGCTCACTGTCTCTCTGTCTCTGCCCCGCGCGCGTGCCCCCAGCAGGGCCACGAGGGGCGGTACTCCGTGTACGTACACACGTCCACGCCCGGCTTCGCCTTCCCGCCGGACTTCTCGCCCACCTTCCGAGACGCGCTCATCCCAGGCGGCAAGGTGAGCCCTCGTGTGTGTAGTGCGCTGGGGCTAGGCGTGGAGAGCGGTGGGGCTAGGCGTGGAGAGCAGTGGGGCGTGGGGTGCGGTGGGGCTAGGCGTGGCGCATGGGGACAGGCAGGGCATGATTGACTGCTCCAAACCTCTGATTGTTACCTGGACTCGCATGGTAGCGTCTCATGCATGGTGTCCCATCCGTTGCATGGCGTCAATTGCATCCCATGTGTTGTTCCACTCCAACGCCAAGCACTGATGCACAACAAGTCTTGCTCTTCCCCCCCCTTCCATCCCGCCCTTGCTTGCTCCCCGTGTGTGACCCCCTGGCTACGACCAGGTGGTGTGGGGCGACTTCTCAATGGTGGAGGCGGAGAGGAAGCTGCTCGCTGCTGCCTTCTTCGACCCCCTCAACGCCTTCTTCGCCCTCCTCTCTGACTCGTGAGCCCCCTCCGCCCCTCTCCCACTCGTCACTCTGCTCCTACGCACTGTTTTCCCCCAATCGTCACACTGGCAGCGAGGGATATCGGAAAAGTTTGGATTGTGGCAGTCATGTTCGATCAACGCTTGGTTTTAGTGCAAACAGCACTGATTTCTCCCCCCCCCCCCCCCTTTACCACGCAGGTGCATCCCCCTGTGGCCCTTCACCTTCATCTACAGCTACGTCGCCTCCACCAACGTCAGTCTACTGGATGCGTGAGTGCGCCCCTTCTGCTCCTTCCCTTGTTCCTCTCTTCTTGTTGCTCGTATAACCCCATAATCCTCAACTTCCCGCTCTCTCACTTGCCTGTCCTCCAAGATGGTTTCGCGAGTCATCTGCGTTGCTTTAGAGGATTAAACGTCGTGGATTTGTTTCAACCCCTGTTGATTGCAGGCACCATGACGTGTACCGCATGGGGTTTCGGCGCTACGAGCGGCACATCTTCAGTCCACTCATCCGCAAGGACGACTATGTGGGGGGCAGCCAGGTGGGGAGAGGGGCAGTGGGGCTAGCTGCAGGCAGGAGACCCTGTGCTGCATGCATTGCACAACACGAGTGTGGCTGCAACTCTGCTTCGCATTCTGCTTTCGCTCATCATGTCCCACCCCCCCGCTCTTTATTCACATGATGTGTGTGCCGTGCTGTGGTGTGTGTGCGGTGGCAGTGGTTTGTGCTGCGGCGGAGGCATGTGCAGATGATCACGAGGGACACCGCACACTACCTCACACACCAGAAAAGCTGCCAGGTGCTTACCACTTCAGGTGAATGTCATGCCTGGTGAATTTGGGGAACTTTGTTTAAGGAGGTTGGGGAAGGCGATGGGCGGTAGAGCGACCTGCTGTTTTCATGAGAGGTGAATGATGTTAGAGTGGGGGAAGCGTGAGTGCTGCGTGAGTCAACTCAAACAAGCTCACCGGCCCCCCTTCTCCCACGTGTGTGAGCAGTTCCGAATGAAGACTGGCAGCCGTTTCTGCTGCGCCAATGAGCATTACATTCAAGTGCTGCTGCATGTGAGTGCTGCAGCATGTGAGTGGATATCGAATATTTTCGTGAGTATTGTTAAATGCAGCTGTTATGGTACCATCATGCTCTACTGCATGTGACTATGAGCACAGACACAAGGAACAGGGCTAGGTGTTCCCAGTCCTCACTCTCACAGTCGTGCATCAGTCCGTTCCTGCTTTCCTTTCTTTCTCCCACTCGCTTTCCCTGCTGTGCCTGTCGTCCAGCTTTATGACCCCTCGGGAATATCCCGCTATCCCACAACCTTCGCTGATTGGAGCCTAGCAGAGTGGCATCCCAAGCTTTTTGCTGCTGAAAATGTCACCAGTGACCTTATAACGAGTATAAAGGTGTGACCCATGATCAAACCTCACTGTCCGGCATTTCATCGATGCCCACGCACTAGCTTGCATTTCTTTTCTCAATGCTACCCTGACTATTTTTACTTGCTATTGCATGTCTTTCTGTCTGCCTTTGTGGCATGTGGTTGATTGCACAGTCATCCAAGCAATTTCTTTCCTACCGCAATTTTTGGAAGGATTTCCGGAGCAATTACTCCTATGTAAGATTCTCCCTTTCTTACATGTGTTGATCCTACTTCGGTAGCCTGGAAACCTATGGCTAACACTCGCTTGTCTGGGATGCACTGTTGAATAAGATTGTCGGTTGGACCTGGTCATGTCTATTATGCTGTCGTACCTAACCCTGGGGTTGTTGATTCCTCTTTCCTGTGCAGATCAAAGATACATCTCTTCCACAACCTGAATTGGTGAGTTTCAATGCTGCCTTCCCCTCACGTTGCCTATGCTCCCGTCGCCTCCTCCTCTCCCCTAGTCGTCCTGTCACATTACCCCCCCCCTCACATCACACTTCTCGCACATCACGTTGCGGAGTTGTCATGCTTGAAGGTTAATTAATGAGATTTGTACGTGCTGTTTCTGTGTCTTTGTGTTCAGTCGCCATCAAACGGGTTTTGTTCCATTGATGGGTTGCCACGTATTTGCTTCTTGTTTGCTCGCAAATTTGATGACTCAAGTTTGGATTATTTACTAGATCATTCTAAGGAGATTTTGGGATTCTGAAGTGAAATTTCATCCGTCATACGCGCTGCAGCTGAAAGCCAACAACAAAAGCGTCATTTGCTTGCCGTACCCAGCGAAGTGTCGCACTGTGCTGTAATCGTCGCAGCCAGGCTTATGAATCGAAGTGGCGAAAGATTCTTCGCTATCTTCTCCGCAAATCCAAGAAATTGCCACCCACTTCGGCCATTTCCTCCTGACCAGCCCCTCCCCTCTCGCCTCGCCTCGACCGCCATCGCGAATTTCTCTCTGCTTCCATCCACTACTTGCCATTCCTGCTTTCGCTAAATGCTCCTCATGGTTAGAAGCTCGCAAGAAGCCTTTCGACTTCTACTTGGTTCCTACTCGCTCGAGTTCTCGCTGCCTGTAGCCTTTTGCTAATAAATGACGTATTTAGCGCGAGCAACGAGACATTCAGCTGCACTAGCTCTTTCGAGTTCATCCACCACTGCCTTAAAAAACTGCCTTCAGAAAACCAATCCCGCGAAAGTCAGTCTATTTTCTTTCATCCCCCGTAAATTCCGTCCCGAAACCAAGTTTATCGTTAGATTCGTGGTCTCGTCGCACAACAACCTACACCAAAGATTCTATTCGGTCAAGCTCCACGGTCATGTAAGCTTTCGTTTCGTCTGCCAATGGTCCCTAATTCCTTCTTTTTTTCCGTCACTAGCGTTGCATTGTAGAAGTTCCGACCTTCGCTGTGCACAGGCATAATCATAACGCGCCGATTTTGTGTTGTCAGGGCGAAGGAGTTTATGAGGAAGATTCCGAGCAGCTCGCTGTACGTGTCCCACCCCACGTGGTGGTTGATGTCGCGCTTCCACTTCAGCTTCGCGGAGTACTTCAATCCGGCCAATCAGGAGATCGGCGTGCTTCGCGTGCTCAACAACGACCTAGTCCAGGTCCCTCCCACACGCATTTCACCTTCTCAATTCATAACTTGTCCTTCAGCCCCTCAATTTGCACCTTGTAGAGAATTTTGCTTGGAGCATTCTAGACTCAACTCCTTATCAGAATGTTATGTTTGTCTAGCCTGCAGTGGGATACTCTATAGCGAGTACAGCTTGAATTAGGGTTTGCTATATGTACTCAACTGCCTGCTAGTGAAAACCTCTCTTTCCTGTTTCTGATTTTCGCCTACTGTTTCAACATGCTATCAGAGCGGTTTCGCTCCTGGCCTGTGGGCACGCATGCTTCCGCTGATGTCGTATCTGTCGCGCGCCCCGTGGCGCGCGGCTTTTTTTCTTCCCGCCACGCGCTTCGGGCGCATGGCGGTTTTTTGCCCGCCACGCGCTTAGGGCGCATGCGCCTATGATATCAACCATTTTTGCCGCCAAGTGCCTAGAAAGCTCGTGAACCCCTATAGGCGTAGGGAAAAGCATTCAACAACCTGAATTTTAATGCATATTCGAGTGGCCCATGTTCAAATACACATACCAGAGCCTTTTCGGCTTGGTTCTTGCACGAAGAAAAGTTCGGCGCCTATGATTTCGGCCGTTTTTGCCGCCAAGTGCCTAGAAAGCGCGTGAATCCCTATAGGTGTAGGGAAAAGCTTGCAACAACCTAAATTCATATTATTGCATATTCGAGTGGCCCATGTTCAAATACACGTACCAGAGCCTTTTCGGCTTTGTTCTTGCGCGAAGAAAAGTTCGGCGCCTACGATTTCGGTCGTCTTTTCTACCAAGTGCCTAGAAAGCTCGAAAATCCTTATAGGCGTATGGAAAAGCATTCAACAACCTGAATTTTATTGCATATTCAAGTGGCCCATGTTCAAATACACATACCAGAGCCTTTTCGGCTTGGTTCTTGTGCGAAGAAATGTTCGGCGCCTACGATTTCGGCCGTTTTTGCCGCCAAGTGCCTAGAAAGCGCGTGAATCCCTATAGGCATAGGGAAAAGCATTCAACAACCAAATCTGTTTTGCATATTCGAGTGGCCCATGTTTAAATACACATACCAGAGCCTTTTCGGCTTGGTTCTTGCGCGAAGAAAAGTTCGGCGCCTACGATTTCGGCCGTTTTTGCCGCCAAGTGCCTAGAAAGCGCGTGAATCCCTATAGGCGTAGGGAAAAGCATTCAACAACCTGATTTTTATTGCATATTCGAGTGGCCCATATTCAAATACACATACTAGAGCCTTTTCGGCTTGGTTCTTGCGCGAAGAAAAGTTTGGCGCCTACGATTTCGGCCGTTTTTGCCGCCAAGTGCCTAGAAAGCGCGTGAATCTCTATAGGCGTAGGGAAAAACATTCAACAACCTGAATTTTATTGCATATTCGAGTGGCCCATGTTCAAATACACATATTAGAGCCTTTTCGGCTTGGTTCTTGCGCGAAGAAAAGTTCGGTGCCTACGATTTCGGCCGTTTTTGTCGCCAAGTGCCTAGAAAGCGCGTGAATCCCTATAGGCGTAGGGAAAAGCATTCACCAACCTGAATTTTATTGCATATTGGAGTGGCCCATGTTCAAGTACACATACTAGAGCCTTTTCGGCTTGGTTCTTGCGCGAAGAAAAGTTCGGCGCCTACGATTTCGGTCGTTTTTGCCGCCAAGTGCCTAGAAAGCGCGGGAAAAGCATTCAACAACCTGAATTTTATTGCATTTTCAACTGGCCCATGTTCAAATGCACATGCTAGAGCCTTTTCGGCTTGGTTCTTGCTCGAAGAAAAGTTCGACGCCTACGATTTCGGCCGTTTTTGCCGCCAAGTGCCTAGAAAGCGCGTGAATCGCTAAAGGCGTAGGGAAAAGCATTCAACAACCTGAAATTTATTGCATATTGGAGAGGCCCATATTCCAATCCACATACCAGAGCCTTTTTGGCTTGGTTCTTGCGCGAAGAAAAGTTTGGCGCCTACGATTTTGGCCGTTTTTGCCGCCAAGTGC